AACTAAAAGACAAACGAAAGATAAAATTTAAGATTACACTGTCTCTGTTTTTGTTTCCACTTTCAGAAACAGAGCAGTGTTTAGTTTCGTACAATGAGAAAAGATGTAAACTTTAACGGTGGATACATAAAGTAGACTGAAATCCAACCGTAATAAGTTATTATTTCGATTCTGAAAAAAAAGGAGATTATTAAAAAGGGTAGATTGAAGAAGAGATTCGAAGTGTTTGTTGTTTTCTCTCCACTCATTTGATCACTTAACCGGTGTTTTGCAATCCAGCGGCAATACCCTTCATGGTTAAGATGAGTGTGTCCTCAAGACCAGGCGCGTATTCACTCGTTGGGTTAAGCTTGACCAGTTCTTGTGCTGATTTGCTTGATTGCATGATCTCTTTGGAAATGCGTGGTCGAAGAGTCACATTGTAGTTTTGATCACGGATCCTCTTCAACGTGTAGGCTTGACAAACATTGAGGGTTGTAATGTAAGAGTCACGAAGTCTAAGTCTCTGTTTCAAGTAAGGGTCTCCTTCAAGAAGGTCTTTGTGTCCAGCAGTCTGCAACAAATGGGAATTTAGTGGAATTGCAAGCAAACATCTTAAGGACTACGAAACAGAGGACTCTGTTTTTTATTGTTTATACCTGAAGGACGAGGTTCTTGGTTTCTTCAAAGTTGGTTCTGAGTTTCTCTCCAAAGGCCCATAAATCTTCTGAGACGAGAAGTTTGTCGTACAAAGCAGCGATCCCGGGGTCTCCCTTGGCGAACACCATTTCAATAAGATCGATGGTGACTCGGAAAAACGGCCACTGTTTGTACATATCTTGCAGCATGTGGAGGTTCCTCACATCCTTCTTGATTGCAAACCTGAAAGCTGCTCCGAATCCTAACCATACAGGAAGATGGAATCTTGTTTGTGTCCAAGCAAAGATCCATGGGATTGCACGGAGAGATTCGATCCCACCGCTCGGTTTTCGCTTTGAAGGTCTGCTTCCGATGTTCATACGTCCATACTCCAGCTCTGGTGTAGCCTGCAAACCAAACCAACGGTTTGAGGTACTTAAATCACTAAAAGTTTGGTGAATTTTGGATTAATGTGAATGATGTACTTACGAGGCGGAAGTACTCCACAAATCGAGGTTCTTGGAAAACGACAGATCGGTATTCCTCAGTTGCAACAACCGCCATTTCATCCAGCAAAGCGCGCCACTCGGGTTTTGGTGAAATTGGAGGGTTCATTCCATGCTCAAGAGTAGCAGCTGTGAAACGCTGAAGTGTTCTAAAGCATAAGTGTGCCTCTCCAAATGATTGCTCAATGACTTCACCCTGAACCGTGACTCGGAGTGAGCCATTAACAGTATCCGGTGGCTGAGACAATATAGCAAGATGAGTGGGACCACCTCCTCTTCCAACTGTGCCGCCACGCCCATGGAACATAGTTAGCTTCACTCCATATTTCTTAGCAACCTTCACAAGCTCTTCTTGAGCTTTGTATAGTTCCCAAGCAGCTGAGAGACGCCCAGCGTCTTTTCCTGAATCTGAGTAACCAATCATAACTTCTTGTTTCCCGTTGATACGGTTTTTGTACCAGTCTAAAGAAAACAGTCTTGCAACAGCGGCAGGAGCTGCTTCAAGATCAGCTAGCTTCTCAAAGAGTGGAACAACTCTAAGTGGCTTTTTCACATGGCATTCGCGCTGTAAAAGCTCAACCGCAAGCACATCACTAGGTGAAGTTGCCATAGAGATAATGTAAGCTCCAAAGCAGTCTGAAGGCAGCTCGGATATGACTTTGAATGTGTCAAGAACATCAGAAATTTCTTCAGTTTTGGGAAGATCAGGTCCGAAAAGTGGACGCTTGCCGCTTAGTTCAGCTAGAAGCCATTCCTGTTTACCTTCTTCAGACCAGTCTCTATAGGAGGAACCGATGTCCAAGTGCTTGGTGATCGCATCCAAGACATCGGTGTGGCGTTCAGACTCTTGCCTAATGTCAAGTCTCACAAGAGAGAGTCCAAAGGTTGAGACTTGCCTCAAGAAATCAAGAAGGCTTCCATCAGCTATTGGGCGGTCACCACATGAACATAGTGATCGGTAGCAGAGCTCAAGAGGTTCCAAGAACTGCGACAATAGAACAAAAAAACAGGAAACATAAATTGAGTTATGTGAATATTGCGAGGAGAACAAGCTCAAGGCTGGGAGAAAATCTAATGGCAAGAACTAACAGGTTTTTAGAGTCAAGGAAACCATTTAGTAAAGAAACAATATTCAGAGTTTAGAGATTGCTTACCTGTTCCACGTTGGTGAAAGTAGCTTCTTCGGGGATGTCCGAGATTCCATTACTCAGCAACTGGCGAGAGCGCTCACGTGTGTGATAGAGTTTATCCCTCACATCACCAAGAATCACACGATATGGCTCAGTTGGAGGAATTGTCTTCCAGAATTCTGCATTGAGTTATAAAAAAAAAAAACTTAAGAATGCAAAAGCAATATCATTATATACTTATGTGTTTCTTTTCGGATCTTGCAAGTAGCAAATCTCCAAAGAAGGTTTCTGATTCTCACCTATGTAATGTTTTGCAGCATCTTTCCTTGAGTTCCTGTGGATTTCATCAGCCTTCGCACGAAACTCATCAGTGCAACGCCACATAGACAACTGCCAAGAAGAAAATGAATGAATCAAGAGGATCTTAGAGAAGGAAAACCGAAAAATGAGAAGATTCTGAAAGAGATTAAAAACCTCAAACATCAAATTCTCGATTTGGTTATAGTAGAGATTGGCAGCCATCATTCTAGCCAACAAGCACACATCTCTAGTGACCTCAGGTGTGACCCTCGGATTACCTGAGATTCAGGCAAGTCAGTTAGACGGTGAACAAGAGGAAACAAA